ATTCTTTAAGGACTGTGTCAATGCTCGAGACGTTGTTAAAAACCAGCTGGTTGAAAGCATCGTCAGCAATGCCTTTCAAGACGTGGTTAACCTTTTCGTCTTCCGACATGGACTGGTCGGCCTTGGAACAAAGGGCCAAGACGTCAAGAATGTAAGAGACGTACGATTCGGTAGAAGACTGGGCCCGTGTGGCAAGAGTCTTCTTCGCAGCGAGCTGACGACCAGATAAATAGCCAAACAGGTCACGTATCTTTTCTTTGAAGAGATCCCAGCTCGTTATGTCGGCTTCGTGGCTTTCAAACCATGTTCGGGGAGTGCCGTCCAGGTAGAAAAGCACGTTGGCGAGCATGAGCGTGGGATCCCAGCGGTGAGTAGCACTGACGTGCTCGTACCGGTTCAGCAAAGTGTCAAGATCAATCGTATCATCACCAGAGAAAGTGCCGGGATCCCGGAGGTGCGGGAGTGTGACGTAGGTGGTGGCTTGGACTGATGAGGGCGGCGTAGAGGTAGTACCAGCAGTCGAAGCAGTCGAAAGGTCGCCGATGGTGCAACCGCTGCGCGTCTCCATCGAGGTACGGGGGTCGTCCACCTCCACCAATAATGTTACGAGTAACTTGTTTAATGATCTATTTACAGCGCACAGAACTCGATTGATCAAGATGGCGCCAGACCAGCATCAAATGAAAACTCACTTCGTCCTCCTCTTTCATGCAGCAGTGTTTAGCGGCTGTTATGTATCAATATTAAATGATTCCAATGATCAGGTGGGTGATCAGGTGGCCAAGAAATACCAAGGCTAAGCCATATAGTTTCTTAAAGTTAACTAGAGGGGACTCTGGCACAGCGATCGTTTAGCAACTATAGGAATGATAGGTAGTACACGAATTTGCCTAGTCTTCGTGCTTGCGGGCTTTGAACGCACTTGTGTCTATGTTTATTGGTGTGTGTTTTGGGATTGTTTAGAATAAAAAAACTAACAGCTGCAAACTTTGTAATTTGAACTTTGTGATTTGATTTGAAAAGGTTAAAGTGGTGAAGCGCAACTACTGAACATTTGCCGATTTTTGTTTAATGAAAAAGCAGTTCCAAGCCATGCAAATCCAAATAGACCCAGAAGAACGAAGATTAGACAAATCTATGTATTACCCATCATTCCCATGCTAGCTGTAACGCCGTGCATTGCAGCTCCCATAGACACTAGCGCCAGAGTACTCTCTAGTGCATTTATAAGAAACTCTATGGAGTAAGCGAATATGAGTACCTTGCAGTATAGACATATGAGGGTGACAAATACGTGGAGGTAAAAAAAACAAACCCAGTAGCAAAAGAAAAGACAAATTCTGCAATATTGAAGCACATAGTGTTGTGGGTATACTGGGTATACAGTAAGTAAGAGGTGCTTTGAGGTCCGTGAAAAGGCGTAATGGTTTCAAGGCTTACATTTGGAAACTTGGTAATGTGCAAGAGACTGAATGTAAAACAAAAGACCGTGGGACACCTTGCATTAAGTGCTCACAGGAAGATGACAAATTAGGCTGTAAGGGTGATATGGGACGGGAAAATTTTGAGTCCTCGGAGAAAAATAAGGTTCAAAGAGAGACTAAGGAATATGAAAGAGAGTATATGGGCAGAGAAAGTAGTCAATTTCAGCCAAAAAAGAAAAGTTTTTTATATTTGTCGATCCTGGTTTTTATTTGTCGAGCACACTCGTCCCCGCCCTGTTGTAAAGGGGATCCTCATGGCATCCATTCATCTATAGCCACAAGTTTTGGTGGTAATAGTAGAAGTCATGAATGGCTTGGGAATGCAGGCGGCACTGCAACTGCTACTTGAAAGCTCAGAGTCTGCAAGCTCCAATTCCAGCACAAAGAACTCGCTGAATAGTGATAAAAATGCTGAAACTGCTGCTTGTGTGTGGTGGTTTTTAACTTTCTTGTCCATGCCTATAACCATCAATAGCCCGCTATCCACGGTTTTCAAGTTCTGCTGCACTAAAAGTGATTATAGACAGCTAACATTACCATAACATCGTAACTATTTTTCCAGTTTCACTTTTTTCTTCCTCTTTTTTAATGCTGTGGGAGCTTTGAAGTGCTTTTTTCAAGTGGAGAGGGTCAAATACTGGTAGCTTCAAAAATGGTGTCAACACTGCGCGCACTTGCTGCCTATTGAAATGGCAAATTTTAGCAGATTCCGACGAGTATGCTTCATCACTTTTTTATGACAGTAGCAGCAAAGACTTGGATGGTGATTTTCGCTCAACGAATATCAGCACAGACAACGAACGTGTGTCGAACAGTCGTGAAACATTAACAGGTATCCGCCGATAACTTTCATTGCCAGTGCCAAGCTCTTTTTAATGATATCTGGCATGTTCTAAAAGCCATAGCTCTGCATTGAAAGGTGACACTACAGCCACTTCGAGTAACGTGTTATTTTGTATTTAAATAACCGCTACAGATAAAATGTTTATATTATCAGGGGTATTGGATTTGACATTTTTGGTGAAAATGTATATTTTGAAATTTTTTTGCATTAACTTGATACAAAACAGCATTGATGCATTTACAGAGTGTTCTCGTTTTTGTTACAATTTTCATACTACATATTAAATGATTCAAGTTTCTTTTGGGCAGAATAGTTTAGTAATGTCTGCTTTAAATTTATTATCATTCGAAAGTGCATATTTTGTTATACGAATTTGTACTATATTTGTGTGGCTGTAAAAAAATGGTTTCCTAGAGTACCCAAAAATGGCCTATTTTCCCATGGACAATGATGTGCTAACAAAATTTCACAGTGACAGAGGACTACTACGCGCATGTGGAAGCTTGGGCTAGTTGGTGGGTAGTCATACTGGCAAGTCTTTTAGCATGTGAACATAGGTTCCTATGTTCATATGCTGAAAGACTTGCCAGTATGACTACTACACGCAAGGTGTCCTGGGTTATTTTGCCCCTAAAAAATAGAACTTGCTCCTTACTACAGCAGTGTGGGTTATGTTCTAATCACAGATTTGGAGGCACTGCTTTATTTGCGAGTTTCATCGCCTACAGGGGGCGCACAGGGTGCTTCAATATGGCGCCCACAGAGAGTATCGGAGTCGCTGAGCACATGTGCAACCTGTACTGCAGTGTTTTTTTTTTTTTTGTTCGTTTTTTTTCACTTCGCAATGACTCTACAGTTTTTGCAGTTGCACATTATGTGCCATCCCGGCGCTTCAGAAACTTGGATACGATGCCTCGTTGAAGGCGAAAAGGTCCTGAATGCCAAACACATCACTTGTTGTGGCGTGAATGCCTGTAGTGCATCTGTCGTTGTGGAAGGACTCTGCCTGCAGACGTCCAATTTTCGCCAAAATCCACTCCACACAAAGTGCAATTCACATATGACTGGGAAGGTTCTGTATAGGAATGTTAGCTTGCTTTTCGTCTTCGTGCTGGTCGTTCCAGTCTGCAAGACGTCTCTTTTGTGGTCTGACGTTTGGCGACACAAAGTAATCTTACTGTTCTTCAATGCTTTATACGTGTGTGCCGCGGTAACGCGGTGGTTACGATGTTCTGCTCTGACTCGAGCGTCACTTGTTCGATTCTGGCCACGACGGTTGCTTTGAGATGAAGGTGGAATGTTAGAGGCCGAGTACCATGCAATGTCCGTGCATGTTGTCCTCCACTAAAGGCGTGCCTAACGATCATTACGTGGTTTGTCGCGCAAAACCCCAAACAGTGTTATAACATTCGGTATTTCCTTTCACGTCCTCAGTTTTGAGTGGATAGTTACCGATGTAAGATTTCGCTAAGTTATCGCAATGCCAATATTTGTGACACATTATTTTTAAAAAGTCACAGCTTTGCCGCAAAGGCGAAGCAATGAACGCAATAGCAACAAATCGGAAGGTCACGCGCCATATGGCAAGCAGATCAAAACGTGCCCCGCATTTGTCACGCAACAATGACGCACATAACGTACAGACAGGTACTGATCGTTGTACTGATGAACGCGAATAAGCGTCTCAGTTGTTACTTCACTGTGTTTGAAAAAGTGCACCCTTTTTGCAAACGTAGACTGTGCAATGACTGCAGTGACCTTTTTGTGCCAGGTAACTACAACAAAAACGTTCTGGTGGAAGACCAGCGCCAGCCAAGACGTACTACATGCACATGCTATAGATACGGCGGCCCCACCGCTACTCCGATACTCTTTGAAAAAATTACACTGGCAGCCGCGGGGGTGACAGTCTACAGAACTTGCAAATACCAGTGTCGAATGCTTGTTCACAGAGTCCGTCATCTGCTCAGACTCTGCCATTGGTATTCAACGATAGTTGCATATCACTAAAACCTTTCCTGTTTAGTAACTTTTGCGAATCCCATGAACTGCCAAGTAAATCAATATCTCAAATATAAAGCAAAGCAATCCCGAATGACCTTCATAACAAGGTCCTGAAACCAATAATTTCTTTCCTCGTTTTGGTCATCTCAAGTGGGTTACCAGTTCAGTGGAGTGAAAATCAATGCTAGCTAGGGTTGGAGATGAGAGAAAATGAGGTCACCAGTGCATGAGGTGGATGGTATTCTTCAGGCTGCAAGATAATGCCTCTGCGAGCTTAAAGAGCTTCTATTAAACAGAAGTCACTGGTGTTGATATACTTATGGTGTTACCAGGAATCATAAGTGACTTAATGTTACCCAGCAACAAGAACAATGGCAATAACAAGCGACTCACACTAGAAAACATCTACCGAAATCCCCTGAAATTAAGAAAAATGTGAGCCCTTATAAGAATTGGACCCTATTGAACAAAATGTGGTGCCTTGCGAGATAGCATATTAAAGGTAGTGCAGTGAGGAAAGACCACCCACATTTTTTAGTATGAGAGAGGAGGTAACAACGGCCCACAATCACACGCACAACAAAATTATGGAAAGGTAGTCATTGTTCTTCGTATTTTTTTTTCTCTCTCTTTTTGAGTCAGTTATAGCAGATTTTGTAATTTCTTACCCGAATCAAAACCAAGTCTGCAGCTTCAATAGCCACATCTGTGCCGTCTGAGAGGGCAATGCCAACATCAGCCTTAACTAAGGCAGGTGAGTCATTGATGCCATCACCAACCATGGCGACCTTGAAACCTTCATTCTGCAGTGATTTAATTTTCTCTGCTTTGTGGGAGGGCAAGACTTGAGCAAACACCTCATCAATGCCAACCTGCAAAGTAACAAAGATTTTTATGCCAAGTAAGAATGTTTTTCTTCAGCACAACACAAGAAAAGAGAATACAATTGAATCCCTTTATAAGAGACATGCACAGGTAAGCAGTTGCTGTCTTTTATATCAGGTGTCTTATAAACGCAGGGGACCATGTTTGCATTTTCTCATCAAGCCCTATTTCAATGTAGGCACACTGGCGTCTTTTATACGCATATGTCTCATACTCCAGTGCCTCTTATAAAGGGGCTCAACTGTATACAACTGATTTCTTAACACATGCTTTTGGAGCAGCAATGTTAACAAATGCACTACTGTAAATTAATACCGTCCCAAAGTCCCCGTACAAAGTATTTACACGATAGTAGGGTAACCCAATTTGTCTTAATTTGAAATCCAAAGATGGGGTGCCGACCTAGAATTGAAAACTAGTTCCGGTTGTAAGGTCTTTCTGAAAATCATCCCTACGTAACTTTGCGAAGCTAACTTTTCTGCACAAGTCTCAAGCACTGCCGTGAAGCCATTTTGGCACATTGACGGCTTGATGATGAGTTAAAAAATATTTATTGCGATAGCAATTATATGGACACTCTCAGCAGGATTTCTCCACCGGCATCGACATGGGCGTTGGAGTCGATGTCATGCACCGTATATGCATACGTATCTATATACATATAAAAACGTAAGAAAGAAAAAGATCCAGAAAAAAGACTTCGGCATGTGTAATCGGAATGCGAGGAGGCGTTAACTACTGAGCCACCGAGGGATACCTTCTTGTATGTTCAAACGGCAAGTTATTTATATTGTTACACTGAAGCGGCAACGTATGAAGAGAGGAAGAGGAGAACGAAGTGGTCTGTTTCAGAAGCAGCTCGGTGTCGGCGCAGCTACCCTTCGCCATTCGCTCTTCAATAAACACACCCCATTGTAACAGTTTTGGTGAGAGGTGCTGGGCACGATAACGGTGTTCCGATGAACGGCGACTCATCGATCGCTGAGGTGCAATACGCGGAGCTTCGCCGAAGCCGACGACTTGCCGGTCTGCCAACTGCGATGGGGTCTCATGACAACAATGACAACGAGCCACCTGCTTCCCGCATTCCGTGCAAGCCCTACATCCAGCCTCCATCCTTCACTGGACAAGCTGCAGAAAATGTCGACTCGTGGCTCAGCTCCTACCAACGGGCGAGTCAGTTTAATGGCTGAGATGCCACCGGCCAGCCAATAATGTGGGACTCTTTCTCAAAGGAACCGCATCTGTATGGTTTGAAAACCATGAAGAAAGCCTGACGACGTGGCAGAAGTTCGTCGATGAAATCAAGTTGTGCTTCGGAGATCCGTCAGCGAAGAATAAGCGTGCCGAGCAAACTCTTATGCAATGAGCGCAAGTCCCCGGGGAAACCTGCACGATGTATATCGAGGAGGTGCTCAAGTTGTACAGGGCACTGGACCCCTGGATGACAGAAGAGGACAAGGTTGGTCATCTTCTAAAAGGGATCGCGGAGGACATTTACCAGTTCCTCATCACAAAAAAAAGTTTGGAGCGTGTAAATGACATTATCAAGCACTGCCGTACGTTTGAAGCGCTGAAAGTGTGACTAATTACAACAAAGTTCGGCCGCCTGCCCAACGTAACTAATGTCGCCAGTGTTGACGTGCATCTAACTCCATCGGATCTCGTGTCCATGATTCGCCAAGAAGTGCGCGAAGAGCTCGACCTACGCAAGGCGGCTTCTCGGCCGGCACCTAATGTTCGAGAACCCTTTCCTTCCTGCAACTTAAGCGCTACGACTATCAACGCCGCCTCCCTTGATACCTACAACTATACGCCTCGTCCTCGAGAGCCAAGCCAAACTATGCATTTGTACTGCACATTGGATGACGAATACGCGCGCAGACCACTTACTGGTTATCAGGCATGGAACAACCGGGTCATTCATCCTTATGCCGACATCAGCGCACCCCGCGAACGTCCCATATGCTTTCATTATGGCATCCACGGTCATGCCACCTGATTCTGCCCCGATCGCCGTCGCACGGAAGCACCGCCCTACAGGCGACTACGCACTTTCTACGGGCGCAGCAATCAGCCTGTTAACGAGACACCCTGGCCCTCAGACTCTGACAGCAGGCCAAACCATTGGGGGAATCACCGCAGTGACCCACTGACGTTGACGCCACCACCTTCACGCTACTGAAGATCCCCATCTTCTCGACGACGTCCTACTTCACCGCCGCCGGGAAACTAGGCAGGGCGACCGATGGCGGTGAGATTGCCAGTCATCTTTAACTACACGCCGCTAAGCCTCCACCAGTGACTATGCGTCATAAGATTTGTGTTTCTGTGGACAATGTTACAATGACAGCTTTAGTGGAGATGGGAGCAAGTGTCTCTGTTATGAGCATGGATTTCCAAACCCAATTAGGCCATAAGGTGATGTTCAAGTGGAATAATGCGAGCACATTTCATGCTGTGAGTGGAGAATTGCTACGACCTCTTGGCGTGTGTACCGTGAACGTCTATTTCGCTAATAACGTCTATCAAGCTGAATTCACAGTGCTCGCTAAATCAACGCATAATGTGATTCTGGGTCTAGATTTACTGCAACAGTGCAGTGCCACTCTTGATTGCGGTACCGGCTAGCTTTTTGTCTCTCCTTTTGTTGCCGACGAACCTGTTACTTGTTCGCACACCCTCGCCGTCTGTGAAGATTCTGTCGTACTGCCCCATTTATTATCCAGCGTTCAGGTTACTGTTACTAGTACCAACAACGATGTATTCGACACTGTTGTTGAGCCGATGCCATCAATCGTCGCAAAGAAGGGTGTGCTCGTGCCTCGCTGTATTGTCTATGTGGCCTGTGGCACAAGTACATTGTGGATATCAAATTTTTCTAACCAGTCTGTTGTGCTTCCAAGCGGTATCCGACTTGCCTCGTTTGAAGTGGATACGAGCCTTAATGCTACGCCTTAAGCAATCACGCCTCGAATGAATCCCGGGCGCATGAGACTAGCCCTGGTGTCCCCGAAGACTCTTCACCGTTTTTGAATATGATTAGCAAGGCACTACCCTCTGAAAGCGTGAAGCCCTGGTCAGCGTCCTTAGCAGGCATGCTTCATTGTTTGATTTCACCAAGGACGCTACCAAAGTTCGTGTTCCCAATATGCGGGCTCGCCACAGGATTGACGCGGGGTTTGCGCATCCCATAAGGCAGAAACCATACCGTGTGTCTGCATTGGAGTGCAAGGTGATCGCCGAACAGGTGGAAGACATGTTGGCTAAAGGCGTCATTCAAGACTCTTCTAGCCCCTGGACTGCACCGGTCATCCTCGTGAAAAAAAAAAAAGGGGGGTCCTGGAGGTTTCGCGTCGACTACCGGCATCTGAATTCGGTGATAAAAAAGGATGTGTATCCACTTCCCCGCATAGACGACATTATCGACTGTCTTCATTCGGCATCTTACTTCTCATCTGTGGACCTACGATGGGGCTATTGGCAGGTACCTATGCATTCCGCTGACAAATAGAAAACCACTTCTGTCACGCCAGACGGATTGCTTGAATTCAATGTCATGCCGTTTGGTTTGTGCAACACCCCTGCGACATTTGAAAGGTTTATGGACACGGTAATGCGTGGTCTCAAATGGGAGATTTGTTTATGTTACCTTGACGACATCGTCATTTTTGGACGCACTTTAGCTGAACACAACCATCGACTTGACGTTGTTTTAACATGCCTTGAACTAGCTGCCCTTACCCTGAACTCCAAGAAATGTCACTTCGGTCAGCGAGAAGCACATGGTCATCTTGTAGACAAACATGGTGTGCGCCCAGACCCTCAGAAGGTTGCTGCAGTTACCTGTTTCCAACAACCGCAGTCACAACACGAACTAAGCAGTTTTCTGGGTCTCTGTTCATACTTCCGCCGATTTGTGCCCAAGTTTGCTGATACTGCCTACTCATTGACTTCACTACTTTGCAAAGATAAGGATTTCATCTGGACAGCAGAGTGTGATGCCTCGTTTCGTGAACTTTCCTTCTCATGTCTGGACCCATACTGCACAATTTCAACCCGTCTGCCACGACAGAAGTGCACACTGACGCGAGTGGCATTGGTCTCGGCGCCGTGCTCACCCAGCGCTTCGATGCCGTCGGGCATGTCATCGCCTACGCCAGTCATTAATTTAGCAAGGCCGAGAAGAATTACACCGTTACTGAACAAGAGTGCCTCACTGTGGTTTTTGCTGTGCATAAGTTTCGCCCATATCTCTACGGGCGGCAGTTCACGATCGTGACTGAACGCCATTCACTAAGTTGGTTGCTTGGTCTCCGTGATCCTTCTGGTCGCCTCGTGCGATGGGCGCTACCTTTGCAGGAATTTAACTTTACAATATGCTACAAGAGTGGCCGCCATCATGCAGATGCCGACTGTCTCTCGAGGCTTCCCTTTCTGTAATGGTTATTCAGTTTTTATTCTTTCATACATTGCTTTGTTATGAATATTTCTGTATGTATTTCAGAGTTGTCATTCTATTATTTGCTGTCATGGGCCACATGCATGTTTCTTTTTGTATTGTCGCTTTCCGCTGCCTGTAATTTTTGTATTTTTGTAAATTTGTAGTTTAGATTTTTTTCTGGGTGAAGGGGCCAGTCAAGCTGTGAAATGCAGCTTTTTTCCCTTCGCACCAAACCACGTATACAGTGTATTTTCGTGTACTTGTCACGTCGTTAAATAAACTCAAACTCAAACCACTCTATGCGACACCACCAATTTTGACGATTTTCTAGCTGCCGTCAACGATACTGCTTTTCCTGACCTCGCTACCTTCCGAGAAAAACAGCGCAATGACCGCAGCTTGGATGATCTCTGACTCAGCCACTCAACCGATAGGTAGCCATGGCTTTATCGTTTGAGAGGGCTTACTTTACAGAAAAAAATTACGTGGCTGATGGTGCCCGCCTTCTTTTAGTGGTCCCCAAGAATTTGAGAATGCATGTACTCTATGCTATGCACGACGACGCATCAGCGGGGCACCTGGGGCTCGCCGAAACGTACCACCGCCTGCTGGCTCAATTCTACTGGCCTACCATGCGACGCAATACAGAAAAGTATGTGGCAAGTTGTGAGAAATGCCAGCAATTCAAGTGACCAAATACTACCCCGGTTGGTCTCCTCCACACCTTGATGTCACTCTCGTCTCCTTTTGAAATGATGTGAGTGGATCTTCTTTGTCCATTTCCGCGCTCATTGAACAACAACCGTTGAATGATAGTCCGTGTTGACCGCATAACACGTTATGTGAAAACTAAAGCGCTACCAACAGCCACGGCCATCGATGTATCGAGGTTCCTCCTTTCTTCTGTGATACTGCGTTATGGACCGCCTCGGATTATTCTGAGTGATCGTGGTCGACAATTCGTAGCCTATGTTGTAAAAGAACTCTTGCGTCTCTGTGCTTGCCAGTTTCGCCACTCGACCCCATATCACCCGCAGACAAATAGCCTCGTCGAGTGCACCAACAGAATGTTTACTAACATGCTTTCGGTGTACATTGACTCCAGGCACAAGAACTGGGATGACATCTTGCCATTTATCACCTACGCTTATAACACGGCAAAGCATGAAACCTCTGGCTACAGTCCATTTTATCTTCTTTATGTCAGCCCACCCCGCCACTTTCTTGACACCATTCTGCCTTTTCATGCGCATGAGGACTCTTCCATTGCCCAGACTATCTGCCGCGCGAAGGAAGCACGTCGCCTAGCTCAGCTCCATACTTTGGCAACCCAAGACCGCTCCAAGTTCGCCTATGATTCACGGCACAAGAACGTGTCGTATGAAACAGGAGAAAAAGTATGGCTATGGGCACCCTTTCACAAGTGTGGTCTGTACCAGAAGTTCCTGGCTTGTTACACCGGTCCTTTTGTCATCGTCAATCACCTAAGTGATGTGACATACTCGATTGCTTGTCTCTTATCTCATGGCTACCGTTCTAGGCAGATGCAGCTTGTTCACATCTCCTGCCTAAAGCGCTTTCATCCTCGTGACTGATGCTCGCCCAGGGGGCTTCATCTGGGAAAGGGGGAGTGTTACGCTGAAGCGGCAACGTGTGAAGAGAAGAAGGGGAGAACGAAGTGGTCTGTTTTGGAAGCAGCTCGGTGTCAGCGTGGCTACCCTTCGCCATTCGCTCTTCAATAAACACGCCCCATCGTAACAATATCTACTACTTACCGCTGTTGGCGGGCATCTCGGGGGAGGGGGGGGGGAGCTATGGCTATCGTATTTTCAGCATTATCAGCAAGATGGAACAATGAGTGCAGGTGGCTCTCATCTCTCACGCGTACCTTGGCCCGCGGGAAGGAGGGGAGTAGACGATCTCTCGTGCGCCCTTATCTCCCAGTGGGGAGGATCATACGGCTTGGCTGGCGTTGGGCTTGCACTGGAATGATTCTATTGTAGTTTAGCAATCGTCAGCAAAGGTCACCGCAATCGTTGCACAGCCTCCGTTTGGGAAAAAGGTGCACTTTTCAGACACAGCGTAGTTAGAACTGAGATGCTTATTCACATTCATCTGTACCAGAGAGTTTCGTGTGTCATTTGTGTGTGAGAAACGCGGAGCACGTTTCGATCTGCTTGCCATTCTGCGCGTGACCTTCCAATTTGTTGGTATCACGTTCATTGCTTCATCTTTGTGGCAAAGCTGTGACTTTTTTTTTTAATGAATTGTGCTCATGCACTTTTCTTTCTTTTTCTTTTTTTTTGCCAAGTGATTTTATGGGGGTCAACTTACGATCGAGTCACCTCACAGTCGTGTAAATATGGTACATTGTGAATATGCTGAATGAAAATTTATTCCTAACATGGTTAACTATCAAACGTCAAGGCACCAACAAAATAAAAACAATTAATTAAGATGCTTGAATACATTCAATTAAGAGCATCAGACAATGAAAAGCAATGACAAAGTGTATCAGGAATTGTACATATCAAAGCAATGACACTGGAATATGTAGGACTTGAATCAAAGCAGCATGCCAGAGATCCAGGAACAGTGGCATTGTGGCAGCTCTGGAAGCTGAATACTTGAGTCATAGCTGGTGGCCAGCTAGTCAGTGCTTTAAACGTGGGTTTTCCTTATAAGTCAAATTAAAGCATCTCAAGCCTTTAAACTTACCTTATAATACGTACATCAAACCTTATTATAATGAAGTTGCATCTTACACGGAAAAAGTTCCTTAAATTCAAAAATTCATTGTAAAGGTACATTCCTAACACTATATTGCAAGAACATTTTTATTTGGATCGTTATCTAAATAAAAATGCTCTAAAGAAAAATTCTGGTGCCAGGGGCAGCGCCAGAATTTTTTTCTGGAGGTGCACCGATGACAATTGTGTTCCTTCAGGGGGGCAGGGAGGCACAGAACTTATGCATTGTGTTTTGACTATACTTGCTCTTGGGGGGGGGGGGGGGGCAAGGGGGGGGCGGATGGCTCCAGCCCACCCATGCCCTACCCGTGCTCCCCCCCCCCCCCCCCTGGTGCTGCTTCTGGTTATAACCAATATTTCGTCATATCTAGGTTCGTTATATCGAGGTTTGAGTATAATTATCTTGGCTTCAAGAGTACTAAACTGAGGCTGTTGGAGGTTCGCATCAAGTGAGGCACTAGCTACACAAAAGAGAGGACATGAACCTGGTAATCAGAAAGCTTTTGCGACTTCAATTTTTTCATGCAACTTTACATTTGCACTTGACGTATAAATAGGAATGTGTGTAAAGGATGAAGGGAGTCTCACTGTCATACCCTCTGTTTATATAAAAAAGACCCCAATTTTTAAAAAAGAACACCCTGTGTGCATGCATGTGTAATTTATCACTTCTGCAGTGACTGGTTGATCATTTCCATTACTATTAGTATTATCTTTCAGACAGTATTGCAACTATAGCAATCAGTGGTTACAATTATTGTACGCTGATACTAACATTGCCAGTATAACACCTAATGCTGTAAAACAAAAATATGATGCACACACTGTTCACACCAACCAAATGTTTTACTTTGTCAAAAGACTAAACATCTAAAAAAAAAGAAACAGAAACAACAAAGTGTTCTTACCTGCTCTGCAATGGCTGAGGCAGTCTGAGCATTGTCTCCAGTCAAAAGAACAACCTTAAATCCCATCTCTTTCAGCTTGCTCACAGTGGCTTTGGACTCGGGCTTGAGTGTGTCGGACACAGCAAGTATACCTGCAAGAACACCTGTAAACACAGTAATATATATATATATATATATATATATATATATATATATATATATATATATATATATATATATATATATATATATATATATATATATATATGTCAGTTCTTACAATTATATTTCTGAAAGTGGAAAGTGTAAGTGCTGGTGTTGTCAAAAAGTGGTTAGCCCTCAAAAATATGTGGCAAAAGGTAAAGCACAAATTGATTATTTCCAGTTAAAAGGAACACTAAAGGCAAATAACAATTTACATCAGAGTGAAAGCTCAATGTATGACAACGTCTAAAACAGCAATATTATCAACAAACAAGCGGCGATGGCGTAGTGGTTAGAGCATCCGCCTCGCATGCAAGAGGTCCGTGGTTCAAATCCCGGTGCCGCGCAGTTCCCAACCGGATTAAAAAAAAAAAATCCGCGTGTTGATGGAACTGCATTAAGGGGCCTGGGGTGCGGCCTCGCCGGTAACCACCGCCGGGAACGCACTCCCTCACCAGAGAAGGATTGACCATCCTGGTGCAGTATCTGGCCACTACCTCCCACATGCATACGTCAAATCACTCACGGTCCTCAGTACCCAGCAGCTGCGAAGCAACTGACCACGGTGGCGGTCAGATCTGCAACGCAGCAGAGGGTGCTAAGAATCTCTGGATCCAGACAGGCCGCCATTGGAACCTGAACTTGGCAACGTTTAACGCTAGAACCTTATCTAGTGAGGGAAGTCTAGCTGTACTATTCGAGGAGCTAGAAGGTGTTAAATGAGATATAATAGGGCTCAGTGAGGTTAGGAGGACAGATGAGGCCTATACGTGCTACAGAATGGGCACATCCTTTGCTATCGGGGCTTGGCAGACTGAAGAGAACTGGGAGTGAGGTTCCTAATTCACAGAAACATAGCTGGCAACATAGAGGAATACTATAGCATTAATGAAAGGGTGGTAGGTATCGTAATTAAACTGAATAAAAGATACAAGATGAAGGTAGTACAGGCTTACGCGCCTACATCCAGCCATAATGACGCTTCAGTTGAAAGCTTCTATGAAGACGTGGAATCGGCAATGAGTAAGATAAAAACACAGTATACTATAGTGATGGGTGACTTTAATGCAAAGGTAGGAAAAAAGCAGGCTGGAGACCTGGCAGTAGGAGTTTATGGCATCGGTACTAGAAACGCCAGAGGAGAGCTACTGGTAGAATTCGCAGAACGCAATAATTTATGGATTTTGAATACCTTCTACCGAAAACGAGAAAACCGAAAGTGGACATGGAGGAGCCCCAATGGCGAAAATAAGAACGAAATAGACTTTATAATGAGTGCACACCCAGGAATCGTGCAGGATGTGGAAGTGGTTGGCAAGGTACGATGCAGTGACCATAGAATGATACGGTCTCGAATTCGCCTAGATTTGAAGAAGGAACGACAGAAACTGATACGCAAGAAGCCAATCAATGAGCTAGCACTGAGAGGGAAAGTACAGGAATTCACAGTGACGCTGCAGAACAGGTACTCGGCTCTTAGTGAGGAAACCAACCTTAGCGTAGATACAATGAATGATAATCTGACGAGTATCATTACGGAGTGTGCAGTGGAAGTTGGAGGCAGGGTAGTTAGACAGGACACTGGCAAGCTTTCACAGGAAACGAAGAACCTAATTAAGAAGCGTCAAATCATGAAAGTGTCAAGTACAACAGACAAAATAGAACTGGCAGAGCTTTCGAAGTTGATTAATAGACGTAAGGTATGCGATGTAAGAAAGTATAACATGGAGAGAATTGAACACGCTCTGAAAAACGGAGGAAGCATCAAAGCAGTGAAGAGAAAACTTGGGATAGGCAAAAGTCGGATGTATGCACTAAGGGACAAAGAAGGCAAAATAACTACCAATATGGATAGGATAGTTAAAATAGTGGAGGAGTTTTACAGAGATCTGTACAGTAGCCAAGACAACCAAGACATTAATACTATAAGAACTAGCAGTAACCCAGATGACACCCCACCAGTAATGATAGAAGAAGTCAGAAAAGGTTTGGAGAGCATGCAAAGAGGCAAAGCTGCTGGTGAGGATCAGGTAACATCAGATCTTCTGAAAGATGGAGGACAGATTGTGTTAGAAAAACTAGCTTCCCTGTTTACGAGGTGTCTCCTGACGGGAAGAGTACCAGAGTCTTGGAAGAACGCTAACATCATCTTAATACATAAGAAAGGAGATGACAAGGACTTGAAGAATTACAGGCCGATCAGCTTGCTCTCTGTAGTATACAAGCTATTTACAAAGGTAATTGCTAACAGAGTAGAGAAAACAGAATTCAATCAACCAAAGGAACAAGCAGGATTTCGAACAGGCTACTCAACAATTGACCACATTCATACTATCAATCAGGTAATAGAGAAATGCTCAGAGTATAACCAACCACTATACATAGCCTTCATAGATTACGAGAAGGCGTTTGATTCAGTAGAAATATCAGCCGTCATGCAGACACTGCGAAATCAGGGCGTAGATGAAGTATATATAAACATTCTGGAAGAAATCTACAGGGGGTCAACTGCTACCATAGTGCTTCATAAAGAAAGCAACAGAATACCAATCAAGAAGGGTGTAAGGCAGGGGGCACAATCTCCCCAATGCTATTTACCGCGTGCTTACAAGAGATTTTCAGAAGCCTAGAATGGGAACAGTTAGGGATAATAGTTAATGGAGAATACCTTAGTAATCTGCGCTTCGCCGACGACATTGCATTGCTGAGTAACTCAGGGGACGAATTGCAACTCATGATTACGGAGTTAGACAAGGAGGGCAGAAAGGTGGGTCTTAAAATTAATCTGCAGAAAACGAAAGTAATGTACAACAACCTCGGAAAGGAGCAGCGCTTCGAGATAGGTAATAGTGCACTTGAAGTTGTAAAAGACTATGTCTACTTAGGGCAGGCAATAACCGCAGAGCCGAACCACGAGATTGAAGTAACTAGAAGAATAAGAATGGGGCGGAGCGCATTCGGCAAGCACTCTTAAATTATGACAGGTAGATTGCCACTATCCCTCAAGAGGAAGGTATATAACAGCTGTATCTTGCCGGTACTTAGCTACAGAGCAGAAACCTGGAGACTTACAAAGAGGGTTCAGCTTAAATTGAGGACGACGCAGCGAGCAATGAAAAGAAAAATGGTAGGTGTAACCTTAAGAGACAAGAAGAGAGCAGAGTGGATTAGGGGACAAACGGTGGTTAAGAATATCATAGTTGAAATAAAGAAGAGGAAATGGACATGGGCCGGGCATGTAGTGCGTAGACAGGCTAACCGCTGGTCATTAAGGGTTAACAAAGTGGATTCCCAGAGAAGGGAAGCGGGTTAGGGGGAGACAGAAGGTTAGGTGGGCAGATGAGATTAAGAAGTTTGCGGGTATAAATTGGCAACAGCAAGCACAGGACCGGGTTAACTGGCGGAACATGGGAGAGGCCTTTGTCCTGCAGTGGACGTAGTCAGGCTGATGATGATGATGATGATGATTATCAACAGCAGTGCCCTACTTACTGGGAGATTAAGCTGAATGTATCACATGACCTGTGCCATGAGTGGGACATTTGCGAAATGATTTCGATGACGTGAGAGTGCCCGAGTATAATTAATCACCAGTAATTAAACTAGCTGCAATAAAAAAGAGCATTTCATGCATCAAGCAACGTTATACTGCTTGTCCATTTATGTTTGATTTATAGAAAAAAGAACTGCCTAGCGATATGATAGGGAATAGTGAGAGTGGTTCATAAATTCCATTTTCGCCTGGTTAGGCTGGATAGGTAGTGCCATCTAGCGGGGCTCAGTTGAACCAAGCAAGCAGAAAAGCGGCCGGGCTAGAATGCACCTTCCCGTGCTTCTTTTCTTACAACCTTTTCACCCGTCGCGAATACAATGACAGAGTTTCTAAGTATGTTTTGCCACCCGTCGGTGGTAGGGGCGCAGCGACCCTGACATTGCATCTTCTGCGCTGCACACACGGCACAAGGAAGTTTGTCGATGTGAAACCTTGGAATAAGGGTTCTCAATGAAGAGGAGGAGGGGGATTATTGAAGAAATCAAGGATAGAGGGAGGGTCGTCTACTAAAAGAAGACTAATTTACCAGATGACTTGCCTCTTAATATAGGTATGTATGTGCTCGCGGATAATACAAGCTGAAACTTAGTGAAATAGCAGAAGAATCGGCTAATGAGAGGCATAATTCAGAAGGCATAAAGCTCTTGCAACAATCAGAGATAGAAGAACAATGCTGCACCTATTCTGCAATCAGAGAGCACTAAACACCTTTGGCCCTTGGTCTTGTCGGACAACGAGCGCGCCTTCCCTTTTCTAGCTATTTTCTATTTTTCTTTATTTTTCCAAATACATTTGGAGTGTTTTCAGGGCAAATAGCTGCTGTCAGCCTGACAACTTTTTTAAACACGTACGTGTGTTGTATATCTAATGGCTTAAAAACTGCGTATAAGAAGGAAGAAAGTAAAAAAAAGAGAAAGAGGGCCCTTGCTGCTGAATAACATCTTCGAATGCTATGCACAGAGAGTGGTGGTGTGCATTGTCAAGGTGTTAACACCACCTGAAAATATTGATTCCAGAGACCCCAAGCCCTTTTGGATTCCTTTGTTCTGCAAGCCACGTCCATGAAGAATGTGAACGAAGTACGCAGCTGCTTATGCTCGCAAGCCTCTTGCTCCGGAACTAAAACTGCAGTGCAAATGAGTTTTGCGCTATCTTTCTAGTTTGTAGAACAACAAGTTTAGAAATATAAATTGACAACAATACAACTTTTCGGAAAGTAAGCAGCTGTTTTTCCGATGATATGTGGGGTTTAACGTCCCAAAACCACCATATGATTATGAGAGACGCCAGCAGCTGTTTTTTTAAAAAATCTGTATAAATTCTCTTGCGGCTTATTGCTACAAACAGGTTGTTGAGGATTGGCTTTTATTTCTAGTGTGGCTTGCTTTATTCTGGGATTTACCCACCATGGCTGCATTTCATTCTGTGCTTTGTCAGTGTTCACTCCACAGTAAATTTTTGAATCGAGAAGGCATTCGCACAACCTTAAGTGCGCGCATTACGCACATGGATATATATTAGCTGCGTGAAGGTGTATTGCTTTGTTCCGTCACGGCCACTCGATCGCCGTGTTTCGGTATTGCAAGCCCTGTTCGAGGAAAACACCCAGTGTTCTCTCTCACCAATTCCCAAACAATACTGAGCTGTGCGCCAAGTGACAAAAGAATATTGCGAGATACAACCTCATCATCAATGACAAGTCTGCATCGACAGTTGTATGCAGCAGACACTTGCAAGATGAAGACTATGTGCCTGCGTTCTGCATCAGAAAACTTATTCCTGACTGCACACGCACCTACTCTATTCAAGAACTATCTTTCCTACATTATTTCAAGTGCATAGAAGCCTCGCAAAGGTTCTGTTTCACGAGTTTGGCCCCTACGTCAAACATCAAGGAAGCGAAAAACGGATACCAACGAAACAGATCTGAATGTTGCAACTTCACAAGACGCTTTTCACTGAACAAGAAGCAGCAAGTGTTTGCACGCAAACAATAAACAGCGACACTCATCGGCCTGGTCGATACCAGACTATGATAGGATGATTGCACTCCCAAGTGTCGCACCATCGTTTAAAATGCGAGAAAGTGCAGCGATTGCTGAAAGAAGAAAAAATTCGTCCCAATATTATTGCAAAATCAAGCACCACGCATGCGTTAAGAAAATCGCAGCAGATGCACAGAAAGGAGAGAAAAAGGCCGTGTTTCTTTTGCATCAAATAAAATGTGATGGAAGAAAACATTCAGCGTACCAGATGATTTTATAAGGGGTGTGTGGTATGCCACTTTTTGTCACAAAGAGGTTATGATCATGCACGCACTTCAAGGCTTGTAACACTGCCAGCAAAGTGCACTCTTAAGAGGTGTATAAGTTCAAGCGCAGCATCATCAGGTAGGAGCAATGCCGTAAACCACTTGTGCGTCTTCAATGATTAAGCAACTTGTTTTTCAATGAAGAAGCGTGGCCGAACTCATGTGTTGGCGTTGTGCGCGCTGTACGAAGGGGCGAAAAATGGCAGGGTCGCAGCGCCCCCCTCAAAGGAGTGGTGAGAAGCATGTACTACACCCGTTACGAAGGCCGTAAGTAGGGAGCGCGCAGGTGCAGTCTAGCCCGGCCGTGGCAGAAAATTGTTCAACGGCTGTTGTTGCTGCTGTGGCTCCCGTTACTTTTACTCTGCTGCTGCTAGTGTCGGAGGTTGCGCAGTGAAGGCGGGAAACATTGGGCACAGCAACAGTGACGCGAGACAAACCGCTTTCAGGTGGGGAATTTGAAGTGTGCCAACACGATGCAGACCACTAAACATGATTTTATTTCAAGATAAGCACTTCCATGGCACCAAAGTAGCACTACGATGTTTCTGAATCGCTATTTCAGCAATGAACATCTACTTCATATTACTGTCCTTAGTGTGCCTTTAATGGTTCGCACTAATCGCCAAAAATGCTGACTGCGAGTTGAAAACAAGCTAACAGGCAAATTAATGCTAGACTGTGTACAGCAGAAAATTCACACTTTCCAATATTTGTTTTTATTTTGCATCCGAGAGCCCTTGGTCCTTTCAGTACATTTAACCAAAGCTATATACTGTGACTTCATTACAACCTCTACATAGTTATGCAAATTCCAGAAAAACTGTTTACTTTTATGGCATTGTGTCATGAAAAATGCTTGAACATAAGCATAATAATATTAATAGCATGTATACAGAATGTACCATTAAATTATGACAAACTCTCCACTTTAAATACTAAATAGTAATGACTGAATGGAAAATACTTGTCTCCTATTAGGTAGAAACATGGAAATTTGAAGTTGCTAGGCACAAAGCTCACTGTAATAGTGCTACACAATGAAATCTATAGAGCATAAATACAAATTTGACTAATGCATAACAAAATGACTGACAGGTTTACCATTTATGGCACACAAAATAACTGTCTGTCCTAGCATTTCTCTCCTGGCCATCAAGCTGTCAACAGACGATGACACTTCAACAGAGTTGTTCTTCATCCATTCTCGATTGCCAACAAGCACGTCATATGTATTGTCCCATTTTTCTGCAAAGCATAAACATTAGAGATGTATGCTTGGTCAGAATACGTACACCTAGAAGTGTTATATTTTATCACATTAACTGAAAATAGCCAAATTTACGGGAGTTTAGCGAATTAAAACCATGATTTGATTATGAGGCAGGCTGTAGGTGGGACTCTTGATTACGTTTTGACCAGCTGAGGCCCTTTAAAGATATTGTCTATCCATTTTATAAACAAAAGCAAATTGTCTTGGAAGGATGCATGTGCATTGTTATACTCTTAACCTGCTTGCAGGGATAAGGCAAGCCTGTAATTAATCCAGAAATGAATATCAAATCAAGCACTTTTAAGAATCTTACAGTGAGCACAACAACACATGGGGCTGTGTTGGGCTGCCAGGTGGTCACGAGCCATATGCTATGTTGTACATATGAAAAGTCCGTAAACAGCGGTTGCGTCGAGCTGATGTTTTGACAAGCGGACTTGTCTTCCTCAAGGCTAGAACAGAACTGATTTCTTTAGCGCTAGAGGGAAATCTGTTCTGTTCTAGCCTTGAAGAAGACAAGTCCATTTGTCGAAACGGCTCGAAACAGCCCCTGTTTACGAATTTTTCATCGCAAGCTTCCATCTTCCCCTTCCTACCGTTTTTTGTACGTCATACATAGTTGCACGATAAGACTACCCTTTTCTTGTGAATTTAGCACCACAGGCTGCCTTAGTCCTTAACACAGCATAATTGGAAAGACCTATTGTGCTCTGGGTCAGGTTAGGAATTCACCCTATACGACTCTTCACAAGTTTACTGGCAACCAGAGTGTATGCATGATGTGGTTGCCACTGTTTGTCATGCCAACTGAGGCTATGCTCAGTGTGTAACAAAGAAGAGTGCTATGAGTAGGGCATACGCCCGTTTGTCGACTTAGGCGTATACGCCGCAGCTACTGCTAGAAGGCCGCGAGCTCAACAGCAGAAGCTTAATATGGCACTCCTTCATATTTTTTCTTTACTACTTCAAGTCATTATTGCCTGAATAATCAACCTTTGCAAAATAAAAGGGTGGTAACCACTCATCATTTGATTGATTGATTGATTGATTGACTGATATGTGGGGTTTAACGTCCCAAAACAACCATATGATTATAAGAGACACCGCAGGGGAGGGCTCGGAAAATTTCGACCACCTAGGATCTTTAACGTGCACCCAAATCTGAGCACACAAGCCTACAACATTTTCGCCTCCATCGAAAATGCAGCCGCCACAGCCGGTATTCGATCCCGTGACCTGCGGGTCAGTGGCCAAGTATCTTAGCCACTAGACCACTGCGGCGGGACACTCATCAGTTAATAAAATAGGCAGCCGTCATCCGCATAGCGTGTCACATAATAACTAGCAGCCTTCACATAAAACAAATAACTAGACTGCCTCAGGTGTTTGCACTGATTCGGGTGTTGGAACCATAGGCTATACACTGTGAGGTGCCCTGGAACACATATGAGTTTGGAGGCGTGAAAGAGCTCTTGTTGTGTAAAAAAATTAAATATGCCAGCACACCTGACCAGCGACAATCTTTTTTTTTTTTTTTTAGAGTGCTGCTATAGGGGACATCACTGAGCGCTGCAACTGAAGGTGCTGGTACACTTAAAGTTTTAACACACTGTGAATGGAGAGCCACAAATTTCTTTAGAAGTATAAGATCAATCCAATTTATGATCATTTCAGCTGTTATATCACCTTCTCTGACCACTTTTTCAGGAAACAACTTGATGAGCCCTTCAAACCTAATTGAATGTTATGAATGACCTTCGGTGTAATGTTCAAAAGATTTCAACTACAGTAGGGTGTACAGTTCAGAACTGTACAGACCACCTTCACCATGTGATTAAAATGACTGATGACATTATCCTGCTTGTTTTCTACTGCACCTATTATAGCATTGATGCCCCTGCCCTTTCACAGTGCAGCTTATCTTTTGACATTACAGTTCCATATGCGACATAGCATAGTTTTGTTTGTGTGTACCTGAATGTACAGTACACCTATTTTTATTTCTTAATACAATCACGATAAGCAAATGCTGCACTTATACAATTTGAAAACATTCAGAAATAAAAACATTGATTTTCTATAACATACTGCACTTATAAATAGAAAAACTTCTTAGAATTTAACTCCTGAAAACCAATGGAGAGTTGCAAACTGAGGCCAGCAAGGAGAATTCAGCCTCAAAGACAGTGCAACGCAACCTTAGAAGCAACATTCTCTCAAGTCTCTGCCTTGCATCTCTACTAACATGACAAAAACCACTGATTGCACCTTCCCTGGAGCAGAGGCTGTGGTCACTTTAGGTGCTGGGCAAGATGGATAGAATTTGATTTTTTTATTTTCCAGAAAGGCACATGAATCAATAAATACATGTGTGAAGAAGGAGATGTGACTGCAGCAAGCAGAATCGCCAACGCCCAGCTCTCTCGGCTCGTACTTCGGTTCGTTGCCGTGCCGATCGCTGGACGGTTCTTCACGCTGTCTCGTCGCTGTCTTTAATGACTAATAAACCTCTTCACATTTGGTGGAAGGTGCTGTTAATCTCCGCTGCTACAACCTGGAGCTGCAAAGCCGCACGCTACCACCTGTCATGACTGACAACGCCACTCCATCGGCGCCTGCGCCCCAGTTCAACTGCCCTGGCCATCCTAGGCTACGAGACTCGAAGGTCTTCAGCGGTGCGGATGGGACCGACGCCGGAGACTGGCTCGAGCACAACCAACTGGTGAGCGCCAACAATAAGTGGGATGAAGCCGAAAAGCTGGGCCACGTCATATTTTATCTCACTGGCGTCGCCGAATTGTGGTTTAACAACCACAAACACAACATACCCACATGGAGCATCTTCAAGACGTCATGTGCTGAAGTGTTCGGTCGGCCGGCTGTCCGCAAGCAGCGGGCAGAACAGCGCTTGCGCGTCTGCTCTCAGTAGACTGGCGAGACCTTTACTAGCTACATTGAGGACGTCGTCGACCTTTGTCGACGTGCGAATGACACCATGCCCGAATCTGACAAGGTCAAACACATCCTGAAGGGCATCGACGACGGCGCATTTCAAATGCTCTTGGCAAGAAATCCGAGCACAGTTTCCGAAGTCGTCAGCTTGTGTCAGAGCTACGACGAGTTGAAGAAGCAACGCACTATGACTCGGCAGCCTCAGGGTGGTGGTGAGTCACTGTCCAGTTTCGACACCCTGCCTGACAATTCACCGTTGCTTCTGCAAGTCCGAGCCTTCGTCCGTGAGGAAGCCGCCCGCCAACTTTCCCTAGTGCCCTTCACTAACGAGACCACCACCCATCTATCTGCCCCGCTTCGCACTGCTATTTCGGAAGAGGTTGCCCAAGCTGTTCCTCTTGCGCACCACAAGCCGCCTCTATCCAGCCGTGTTCACTGTCAGCGTGTCGCGCAGCCAATAGGCCCTCCTGTCGCCTATCCGCCAGCCGTGCAGCCTTTGGCCGCCCCCCTAACATATGCAGCGCAGCCTGTGGCTCCTCCTGTCGCCTGTTCGCAAGAGATGCAGCCTGTAGCAGTGCCGTTCACATATGCAGACGCTGTGCGTAGGCTTCCGCAACTACCCTACACCTCGCGCTCACAGCTCGCACACCCGGCTGCTTATACTGCACCTTGGGCGGCACCACTAGTCGCCAATCCTTGGAGGACGCCCGATAACCGACCGATATGCTACGCCTGCTTCACTTCCGGACACGTCGCCCGCTACTGCCGCCGTCGACCTCAGACGTTCGGCGACTATGTCCTATCGTCGCAACCCAGCAGCCAACCCTTCGCGCAATACGGGCCGGTCTCGTCACCTCGCTATGCCCCTCCCAACGACCCCGACTTCGTGATGCCGCGCGCACCCTCTCCTCGTCGGCAATCGCCCTCCCCCATGCGTTGCCGGCCCGGACCTTCTGACCAGGAAAACTAAGCACCGCAGTTCAAGATGCAAAAACTGCGCCATTTTTGAACTGTCTAAGCCCTCGCCCCTCTCCTGCTAATGTGGTCGCAGTAACTGTTGAAGGTTATTGTACTTTCGCCTTTGTGGACACCGGCGCCGCTGTTTCTGTTATTGCCGCTAATGTCTGCCGTGTATTACGTAAAGTCACGCCGCCGCTTTCGGGACTGTCACTCCACACCGCGAGTGCACAGCAAGTAACGCCTCTCGCAGCCTGCACTGCAAGAGTGTCCATCGAAGGCATTGTTTACATTGTGGAGTTTATTGTCCTCGCTGTCTGTTCGCATGATGTCATCCTCGGATGGGACTTCCGATCCCGCCATAATGCCGTCATCGACTGCGCACGCGCTTAAGTTGAGTTTTCACCCTTTTGTGATGTCCCATTACTTGACGCTCTTCATCAGTCGCCGAAGTTGTTCGTGCATGAAGATACCGATATTCCACCTGAAAATTTCGCACTTGGTCCAGTTTCATGCAACGCCTACACTGACGCTACAGTATTTTTTATGCCTTCCGATATCTTCACTAGTCGTCGAGCTCTGTCACTGCCTTTCGCAACGATTGACCTTGCCGCCGGAAGAAGCAATATAGGAAGGTTGATGCTTGGAAGGCGATGCACCAGCCGCAATTTCCGAGCTCGAGCCGCTGCTGCACACTCGATGCTGCTGCCTCTGTGCCGGAGTACTTCCTCTTCTTTACAATGGCCCCACGGAGAAAAAAAAGGAGCCATCCTGGCGACTTAGTCCTGTGCAGGCGGTGTTGAACCGTGGTACTGCTTGAGCCTCTGGACGTGTACAACCTCGCGGTTGCGACGTCGCAAGTCTGATGGTGGCGTAAGAGGCTCAATGAGGTAGTTTACTGGTGAAGTTTGTTCGAGAGTACGATATGGCCCATCGTACTTTGGCAGAAGTTTGGAAGAGAGCCCGGGTGTGCGATGCGGCACTGACAGCCATACAAGAGCACCCAGAAGAAAAACGGGAGTTGAGGTCTGGGCATCATGAATTGCTTTTTGCCTGTTTTGGTCAT